GCATGTTGATTCTCAACCTGCATATTTGTGGGCACGTGGGCAGGACATCACTTAACATAGTGGGATCACGAGTGGAGGATTTTCTTCCTTTTCTTCTCTGCCATTACTCTGCCTTATCAGTTGATGTTGTGACGTACAGCATGACACTGCTTGATGGACATTTTGTCACCACTTTCAACAATTGATAGCAAAATCCTCCCCAGTTATTAATTATCCCCCTCGCCATGCTTCCAGTAAAACTTCAGAGTGTCCTTGAAGTAGTTTTGTAGTTTGTTACTGGAGCATGTGTCATTTGAGAACTGAGAAAACAGGACTTGTTGGGGCAGACTGTGTTTTCAGTGTCCAAACATGTCCGATGCCCAGTGCATCAAAGTTGATTTAACAGGAAACTTGCAAGAAGAGCTGGTTTACAGAACAATGATGGTCCTCCCGTTGAGTACAGAGAATGCAGCAGAGGCGCTGCTGATGGAATTATTCTGGCGTCCTGTTCTTTCCTTGACTTACAGAGGTCTTTGTCATATGCTCCCTGCTGTCGTTTGTGGAAGGCTGACTTGATGCAACCAGCAACGCCCGCATTCCACAAGTGAACTAAAATAAAATGCTCATCAGCAGTGACCTTTTGAGAAACATGGTTTGCTAAAGTGTGGGAAGTGCTCGACGTATTTCTGGAATATTTGCTGACCAGATCTGAGTTAGTTAGAGGAAATGGAGTAACATGGAATATACAAACCATTAGAATAAGTGGGGTTACTATGTTTTTGGAAGTCATATAATCCAGCGGCAGTGCTGATTTTACTTTGTTTTCTGTATATCAATTGCTTGAATATGGAGAAATACACTATCTAAATTTGCTGATAACAGGACAGTAGATAGGCAGTTTGCCCAAAAAGAGGGAGTGAGAAGAGCTGTAGCTTGCCAGCTACATAGTGAGTGAGCAGAGAGACGTGGTATAATGTGGAAAAGTAAATAATAATACGTTTTGTAAAGAAAAGGAATAGAACTATGGGACTATTCACTTTAAAGAAGGCACTGGAATATGGATGCATAAGTTATAAGCAAGCAATTTCTGAAAGTGAGTCTTGGAAGCAAGCCAAAACATGGCAGTAACATTTGACTTTTATAAATAGGGACCTAGATCACAGGAGTGAATAAGTATGGATCTGGACATTCGTATTGCAATGGCATTAAACTGTCAATGCTTTGTTGAAACTGACAGCACTTTGGGAGACTGCATATCTGCAAACTAATGCAGAAATCCATAAGTTGCTGTCAGTGATGGTAGGTTCCATTGTCACAAATTGTAGAGATTTCCACAGTCAGCAGTGTCCATTGAATTCATAGTCAGATGAAAATCCCCACTTCTGTTCAGTTTATCTTGCTGTACAAATCCTTGGGAAAATTTGCACCTTGCTGAATCAAGTGTAAGTGGGCTTGTAATTAAATAAATTTCAATAATTGTCAAAGTTCATATACTGACTTGAAGCATTAACTGTTTCTCATCACAGATGCTCCCTGACCTGCTTGGTATTTCTAGCATTTGTTTTTATTTCAGATATTCATGACCACAGTATTGTTTTTCTGTTTTTAAAAAGTATATATTCTTTCTTTAACTTCCTTTCTTAATCCAATCATCATCATTAATTTCACTATCTTAAATTTTAAGATAAAGTTTGAATAAAAGTGATTTTACCTTTCTGGTTTCCTGTGTGAGGTGGGAAGTTATGTTTTGAGAAGAGATTTGAGGTACTGGGACCCTTCAAAAAAAAGGTTAAGGGGAGATTTGATCAGAGATAGTAGGAACTGCAGATGCTGGAAAATCCGAGACAACAAGGTGCAGAGCTGGATGAACACAGCAGGGCAAGCAGCATCATAGGAGCAGAAAGGCTGACGTTTCGGGCCTAGACCCTTTCTGACCCTGCTGTGTTCATCCAGCCCTGCACCTTGTTGTCTTGGATTCTCC